AGCAATAATGTAAGGAAAATGATGTTCTATACTCTTCTGTTGTTAACAACTTCATTTATTATCTTAGGAAGTTGATAAAATTTGTGGGAAAAAAAAGTATCTTTTGGTCTTGGCATTTCCAGACCCTACAATGTTCATACCATTGTCAGATTCAAAATATGTAGTGATTTCCAGGCTCACAGACAAAGCTGTTTTTAGCATTCTACAGAAGCTGGTTAACAGAAAGGTACCGGAGGCATGTTTTTTCCTTGATTAATGCTTCATTTGAATGCTGTTATATTAAGCTGAGGTTGTCTGGCTGCATGGCGTGAGGTCAGAAGTCAAAACTAATTTGTTTAAATTGCTTAAATCTTAAAAATATGTACAATTTAAATTTGCATCTAACAAGCATTAAGTGTGAGGATGATCAAAGCTTTTAAATAGTCACTCATAAAATACATTCTTTGATCTAAGAATGGTTCTCTTACTGAACATTTCCTCTTTTTTAACTGGGGAAAAAAAAAAAGTAAAAGAAGCGATTAAAGAACCACTCAAGAAATTGAAGGAGAAGCAGGAATCCAAGAAGGAGGAAACGAAAGATGAGGAAGAAAAAAAGAAAGCCAGGAAAGGAAAAGATGCTGCTGATCGAAAGGACAAGAAAGCTGTTGATACGAATAAATTAAAGAGAGAGTCTGACAAGGTTAAAAGAGACAGAGGAAAGGAAAAGGAAAAAAGCCTAGACAAAAATGTAAAATCCAAGGAGACGACAAAAAAATCAGCTGGTGAAAAGGATGGTACTATTCAGGTGGGAAAGGACAAAGAAGCAAAAAAGATTAAAAGTTAAAAAATCCATCCAAAAATTCTGAAAGCTCCGTAAAGACAGACAAGAAAGAAAAGAAGTAAACTGAGTTCTGATTGTGCTAATTAGGAACAGACTGAAGAATGAGAATGGCGATGTATTTATAGAGTGTGGTAAATATGGCAATAAGAAAGAAACTAAGGCTTTTTGGAAATGTGTGAAAAAAATTATATATTTTTTGAAAACTGTTAAGCATGTACTGGCATTATAAATGCAACGCAAAAATGTCTGCTGTGAAACTCAAATATGTACATATGTTAATATGCCGGACTGAAATTGTAATGTATATCAAATGCAAGTTTAAAAGCAATATTAAGAGGATTATCTGGACACACAGAGGAGCATTAACTGAACATATTGTCACAGGAACTTAACAGATAAGTGTGAATTATTACTTTGCTAAACTTAGTTTCTTGAAGTGGACTGAGAAGACTGCTTTATACCCAGACAGTCAAACCAACTGTTTGTGTTGTGTTAATTTATGAGACTTGTATTAGAACAAGTTTTTGTTGATCCTGTGACAATATATTCTGCTGTTCATTTGTTCTTTCTTTATTACTGTTAGGTCTGAAAACTTGATTAGTTGTCCTTTTTCAGTTTACCCAATTTTTCCAAGTTTCTGGTAATGAATACTTATGAAAATTGGGCCACTTGTTTCTTTTTTGATGGGTGCTGTTGGATTCCATTCGCATTTCAAGAAGAATGATTTGCTGCTATTATTGTGTTCTGGTTGAAGTTAGAGAACAGTTTGTGTTTTTTGGTTTGCAACTATTAATTTTTTCCAACAGCATTTACTAAGTACGTGATACTTCTGTAAGCAAGCTTCTATTTTAGCACTAAAGAATGATTTATCCAGCAGTCTCAATAGTTACAAAACAAAGTTACAAAACACTTATTGAGGCATATATTTCAGTATTTTGTTGAATCTAGAATCTAATACTTGCTTACAAATTTATGTATGGAAAGGAGTATTTTCTAATTTTACTAGGTAAATAATGGTGTTTAGTATGCTGAAATAATAATTCTACAATAAAATTACATAAGATTCAGAACAATTTATAATGAAAGTTGAAGATTTCTTATTGTAATACTGAATTACTGTTCTAAAGAACACAAAACTAAATAGAGAAGATAATCATGGGTATATGCATATGGTGTGAGATTAAATTCCTGGAGGTTAATTCCTATATTCTTTTCTTTGTTCTGCTTAAATATTCTATATAACTGTTGGCAATACACTTATGTCAGGCAGTTGATATAGCATACATGTCTATAAGATTCTTTGATCCCTAGAGGTACAAAATGCAAACAGACTTTTTTTTAAATTAAAAAAAAAAAGTTCAGATGAAAGCTGTAGAAAATAATAGAGTAACTTAAGATTCCAGCTGTTATAATTGACAGAGTTGATATACTGTGCTATGTTGTAAACATTCATATGTGTGAAGAAGGAAGGAAAAGGGGCGTGTGTTGTGAACATCATAGTGCTCAGTGAAATCTTGACAAAATGATTTAATAAATGCACTTCTATAATGAATGTTCTTTTTTAGGTCTCAGTCATGATGGTTACGATAAGTCATCTGTGCTTTATTAGGTGTTAATACACGTTTGATGGAGGAGTATTCAGATCACACTTCTCGAGAATAGTGACACAGTACTAAATGCACATCACTTTTATTTTCTTCCCTAATATGACAGTCTAGGAGTGAAATTTAGAATGAGTTACCTAATTACTAGATCTTCGTATCCATGAGCCAAGATATGACCAAGTTTATCTGGTTCTAAATAAGTTTCTTTTTCAAAGAGCATTTTGTTTGAGTAGTACTTCAGGCTATACAGATAGCTACACAGTAAAAGGATTTTTTTCCTCAGATACCTTTCGTGCTTTTGTATATCTCACTGAAATATTGTCGTTCAATTTAACATGGCAAGTTAAGATGTAAGCTCAAAAAGTTCAACACAAGTAAAAACTGAGCGCAGCTTCATTCTGAGAAAAATCGGCGAAAACAGTATCTTGTAAAACGTAAATGACTGTTACATACTAAACAGGACCGAACAGGAATCAGTGATAACGCACAGTTTATATAAAGCATACATACAGATATACATAAAGCATGAAAACAAAGTTGAAAAACGTGCGAGCAAAAATGAAGAGATATTCTCACTAGTCCTTTCTTTCCTTTTATACACCCTAAATGCTAGTTGGTTGTGAAATAATGTCTTTTTAGTACCAAATTCATTCATCACTGAAGCTGTGCAAGTTGTCTGAATTTGGACACGTGAGTTGTTGGAAGATATGAGAACGTATTTGAAGAGCTGTATGTATAAAGGAAGTAAACAGCATTTGTGGAAGTAGGGTGTCTGTTTTTAGTCTTCCAGATTCTGAAGTCTGGAACAGTGGCTAAAATGAGGAACTGCTTTTTTCTTTGTAGCTAAAGATGATTGTAAAAGGGAAGAAGTAACTTGGGAGGAAGTAACTTAATACTCTTGTAGCCTTTAATATTACTGCAATAATTTATTTTTTTTTTTATGACATGGCAGAAAGTTGGTTAAAAAACGGGTGTCAACAAGAGGCTGTAAGACTCTTAATCATAGTGCTCTTAGATACGGCCTAACTACTGTAATAGTCAATTACATAATTACATTTAGACGATTTTAGATATGTAAAAAAAAAAAAAAAAGTAGTAGGATTTTTTAAAAAAAGTAATAGGATTGTTTCTTCTAATTCTTTTTCTCTTTGTTTTTTGTTTTCCTGTTCCCATTGTATAGGATAATGGAATAAATACATATGCTTCTTATGGTGCAAGATGAGGTCTTAGTAGGTCACGCAAAGTTGTTTGGAGACATACCAATCCAGTAACTTATATTGTTCCACATAAAGTTACTTTTACAAGAGCATTAGCAGTGGAAGAGTGTTCGTTATTGTGTAGCCTCTGCTTTTAAAAATAATATTATATTGAGTTCTGTGCATACAAGTCTTGATAAACTAGTTTGTTTGGGGTGGTGTATGTCTGAGTTTATTTAAGAAAGTAGTTTTATCTTAATTGACCTTGGAACTCAAAATGCAAATCCAGGAAAAACGATCATAGGAGAATTCAGTTTTGAAGGGACATTAGGAGGTCCTTAGTCTGATATTCCTGCTCAAAAACAGGATCAGCTCAGAGATAAGACCAGGTTTTTCAGGGTGTTGCCCAGTGTGGTACTTAAAACCTCCATGATGTGAACGCAATGTGCAGCCTGCTGAGTTGACTGTCCTCATGGGGGCAAAAAGTTTTTCATTAGATCTAGTTGCTTTCTTGCTTGAGTAGACCTTTCTTGCTTGAATTCTTCCTAAACAATGGTTGAGTGGATGATTAGGATAATACCAGTACATTCTTTCTTGAGGGTATAATCTCTTAAGACGTGGCATAATCTTTCCAGCTTTTCAGTGTACTTCCTGTGACTAGGACAGTAAATCATGATTAATGACCTGCTCGATCCTGAACAGGTGTTTGCCTAAGAAGGATATGAATCGTCTTTCTCTCTTTCTCTCTTACCTTGGTATTGGTCCTTGCTATTATTGTTTTTTTCCTCTCTCCATGGCCTTCTGGTCTAGAAAAACTCAGTGGCATAGATAGTAAACAACTTAGTGGTGAAACTCCATCTGCAATAACTTAGGTGTCAGAAGAAATTACCCAGTTTTGAAGAGACTACAGTTCTCTTTATAAGATCTTCTAGGATTTAACTTAAGAAAACATATTATAAGCAGTGTACATTTGAAATTGGTTATTTATAAAATACAAAAGTGATTACGTGAATCACTTTTTCCCAAAGAGAAAAATAGTGAGGAAAAACCTGCTGCCTGATTATCTTCTGGAAACTGAATGGAACTTGAGAATAGCACAGTAATTTTTTCAGTTACAATGAATTAAAGGCAGATGCTTAAATTTGTGTCCAGTTTTTCCCCATTGTGTGTCTGTCTTCAAAACATATGCTTGATTGCTATCTCAGTACACTTTAGTCTTTGTGTATATCAGGACAGTCCTGTAGTTATAACTGATTCTTTGAAGTACTCATTGTTAATTTTAACTTTAGTTGTCACTGATATATTTGAAACAACTTTCTTAATTTATATTTGAATCAAATCAGAAAAGCCTAAAGTTAACTTTATAACTGAAAAATGCAGGCCTAAAAGAAAGATCTGTCCCAGAACAGTCAACATCACCAGAAAGCGAGGAGACCATTCAGCCTGATGAACAGTCATTTGTCAAATCAGGTAAGGTTTCTCATAAAACGCAAAAGAAACGAGACATGGTATTTCATTTGAATTATAACTCTGTTTCTCAGCGTGCAACTTCATTTTGTTGTTTCTTTGGGTAGACTTTGAGTAGAATATTAAATCTTTTATCACTTTGTGTTTATACACTATAACATTTAACTGGAGTGGCTGTTAATAGCTTTATATAAATCACCGACCATGAAAAGTATTTATAGACGGCACTCTTGTCAGTTCTCATGGAACTATATCACAGCAGACTAACTGTCTGCAGGTGTACGGTTGTGGTTTTGATACATAAACAGCAGTATACAGTCAGCAGCCATTCCTTCTAAATATTACTTTTATGTCGTAGTTTGAGTAGTAGAACTTTTCTCAGTTTCTGAAGTTATCTGATAATAGGGAAGTCTTTTTTTTTCAATTCCAGTAATTTTGCATTTCTGTATTTTAAGTTAAACCAAAAAAAAAACAAAAACAATCATTTGATAAGCTTATTTGAATATTCACTTTTCTACTAAAATTGTAGTATATAAAAAATTCGAAGTATAGATTTTAGTTCTGAAAAAAAATAATGTTAAAATACACTTTAAAAATTACTAAAATGTATTGGGTTCAAGAGGAATTCAAGAGAAAATGTTTTTATGTGCCAGCTTTCAGATAAACAATTCGCATTTTAATATTTCTCAAAACATATATTTTTCCAGTTCATGGAAGAGGCTTATCTTATTTGGTGTTTATGTGTACCAGACACAATAATCCACAAATGTGTAGGGTATGGCTAATAAAATGGAATATAGAATTTGTTTTAAAAAACTTGAATTACTTTACTTAAGTTATTATAACGCGTATTTTGTAATTTCCTTTTCATTTTTCATAACTTTTTTTTTTTACATACATTTTGGTACTTCATTTGAAAATGCAACAGTGTTGTCTTTTTTGCCAGTTTCTCAATGTTAATTTCAGGACATTTATATGAAGGCAATTTGTAGTACAAATTCCCGTTATTTCCTGGGCTTGTGTTTTAAATGATGATCACTTGTCCCTGAAATCAGTTTGGGATTTATTCTGCTAAGAATTGCCAGGAGGAGACCTTGCTATTGTTATTTGTTATATTGTTAATATTAGTGTTTATTTTCCGTATTTCTAAAATGAATAAGACCCTTCTTCTGTAAATGACATTCTGTTGTCAAAAATGACAAGTTAGTGCTGTGATCTAAATTGTAGGAAAGTAATGGAGGAAAGTATCAGTAAAGTAACTACTCCAAAGAGAATTTGTGGTTTGGATAGGTACCTGAAATTATTAATGTTACTGCCACTAAGTAAAAGTTATATGCAGAAAATCCACTGTAGATAAATTCTTCTGATTGGTCTTCAGAATGATTTAATGTAATGATGCAACATGTTCTGTGTTGGACAGTAAACAAAACCAAATTGGATTTATAATTACATGAGTTGCAGAGATTCACCAAGTTAAATTTCCAGAGAACTTCATGGGCTGGAGTAAAGATTTTATGGAGACTACCAAACACTGCAAGCCTTGAGCTAGTGTTCAGATTTTTGTGCTTACCTTCAATGCAATTTGTAATCTTTTTAGAGCACAAGAATGTTGATGATGTAGAATTGGAAGAGGAAATTCAACCCGTTCTTCATGAAGCTGTCCATTCTGAGCCTGGTAATGCATTAACACTTAAAAAATCACTGAAGAATTTCTGAATTTTGACATAGGCAAGACAAATCTCATAGTCTGTTTTTGGTATGCACTCAAAGTACTTTTGCCTGCACAATACATTTTAAGCAAATACTTTGTAATTTCCAATAAATACTTGAAAAATTCAAATCCCCAGTCTATGGCTCTTTTTTTTTTTAGAGGTGTTTGGCAGTAGTAGCTCAGATCAGTTGACAAGAACTTCCTAAAAACATTCTGTAAAGTGCAAGAATCGTTAAACAGGATTTTTACTGTATTTCGCTTCATGACTAATGAAGGCATTCAATGCAGATACTTTGGGTTCATACTACGGTAAGGGTGAGACAAGTCACTTGTCCCCCTCTCTGCTGGGGAGTAGTTGAAAAACATGATAGGTGTCTTGAAAGCTGAGTATTTGCTTGTAGCAGAATTTACCAATGATTGTGTATTCTCTAACAATCTGTATTCTCAATTAGCAGAGGGACATGAAGATGTAGATGAAAGCGTAAATGAACAGTGGCAAGAGAAGGAAGAAACACATGGAGAAACTTTTGAAGCTCCTGCAACAGATGACTTGCTCAGAGAATTAGAGAATGAAGTGACAGAGGACTATGAGACACCAGACTCATTTCAGAAAGGTATCTGAATATGTTTAAAATCAAATGTTGACAAAAATGTGAACAGACAAATAGAAACCCTTCTCGTTTAAAAAAGCAATTCTTTAATTTCTGCTTGCCATAGAAAATTAGCAAGTGTCAACTACTGCAAGCACTATTTAGCAAATATTTTTTTAAATCAAAATGGGATAATAAAACACCACAAGTTGTGGAATCCAGCTGACTGTAAATTATATACTTACTGCAGTGTGGCTTTCAAACAACTGAGTTAATCTGGGTTCTAGCTACATATTTCTCCCCAAAACAGAGGGGCTCAAATCGTATCTATGGAATGTGCTTCTGGACTTTCTAGATTTTTTTAACTAAATTTTTAAGAGTTTAGCACCAGCTTTTGTAGACAGACTTATTCTCAATATACTTCTAATACAGCTCTTCAAGAGAATAAGTGAACAATATTATATGAATATTTTCCTTACATTTAGACTTTCACAGAGGTGAGTTTTCCAACAGCAGATTTGAATTTGGGAAAAAAATTTCTGCAGGGACAGTCATGTTTTTTGAGCAAATGTGTTTCAAGTATATGTATTCTCAGTTTTACATATATAAATTTTATTCTTTTGAATATTTCTGGCATTAGAATAAATTTGCTTAGAATTTCTGCTTAGAAATTTGTCTATTCTTATATAACATTCTTTTATAGCATTTGCAGTGCCATGTACTGTTTTTTTTTGTTTTGTTTTGTTTTTAAAAAAAAGCTTAAATTTTTAATTTATGCTTATTTCTCAATTTTTCAGATGCTGATCCTGTAGATCTTGGAGCAACACAGCCTGAAACATATGAAGTTCCAGGTATAATTTTATTTTTCCAAACTCAGCAAAATTAGTTTTACACTGAAAATGATATGAAAAAGTAAAACAGAAAAAGCTAAACTAGTATAGTAGTATATAATTTTGAAAATGTTTATTCACTAAACGTCTGATCCTGTCTTGGATATGTTTACTCTGAGATGAACATATCATAACTGATATGGCAAATTAAAGAGTAGGGGATGGTATGTATGGAAACTTTGCCTTCGGGTAGTGCAAAAATTTAATTTGTACTTTGAGTTTCTGGCTGTTGCATGTGTTTGCAATCTGGGCAGGCGAGAGATGCGTGGTTGTACAGTCTATGAAAGTGAGAATAAGGTTTTATTGCTCTTATTCCCGTCTTGTATTCTACAGTGCTGATGTTCTTCTAGCCTCTATTTTTGTCAGTAGTATGGATCTTGTGCTTTTGCATAGAACCTCGCATCTTTCAGAAGCAGACAGTTTTAACCTCTCATTCAGGACTATTTAATATTTTACGGCTAATTATGCTATCAGAGTCAGCTCCAAGGACTTAATATGGAACTATCCTTGTAGAGTCTTTCTAGGGTACACCCTTAATCCATCTTCAAACCTTTAGGAAATTTTGCATGCAAGTACATCCAGTTAGCCTCTAGCTATCTTCATCTTTCTTCGCTACTTTACAGAATGGTGTTGGCTTATTTTACCCATTAGTCCATCTACTGAGAAACATGAGATGGATATTATATTTTCCCTGCTGTCTGGGAAGTGTTTTTATCTGTCTACTAATAATGCTTCTTTATAATAGTACAGGCAGCTTCTTCCATTTGTATCAGACCTGGATTTCAGTTTGGACTAAGCATTGAGCCAAAGATAATAGCCAAGTTCTGGACTTCGGTCTTTTTTTGATGCCAAATATGACAACAAAATATTTTTATTTGATACAGAAAAAAAAAAGAAAAAAAAATCACAAAAAAAATTTATTCCTAACCTTGTTGGGAAGTTTCTGCTTTCCAGCTACCAATTTGGAATCCATGCTGCTATACTTCCAAAGTAAAAGGATAAGTTATTTTACCTTCAGTACCGTGTGTTGTCTGATGTGTCATACTGACTATAGAGATAACATCTCAAAGAGTTGAAGTCACAAATTTAGCAATGCAATGGGGAGATAAAAAAACAAACAAACATAAATTGTTCAATTTCTATGATGCCAGAATTGAATATTTCTCAAGGTTTGTTTTCTGACTCTTATTGGCAGCGGTTGTCTTCTGTAGACCAGCATTAACATGGGAACTATTGGAGCACTGGAACTGGAGGAACTATTGTAGAACTAAAATAGAACTAAAGGAACTATTTTAGAATGCAGGAAGATGATATTTTTGATTTGTATTAGAGCTATTAAAAATGTTCATGCAGACTTACAGCTCTCATGTACCTAGTTTTCATACCAAGGGTATGAAAATGGAGGGAGGGTAACCCAGCTCCTTCCACTAGACTGCTACGTGTTTAGTTGCAAATGTCATTTAATAGTTTTAATCTGAAGAGTTGCATTTAGCTATTGAAAGACACATTCAAGAAAGTTAAAAACAATGCAATATTAAATATATATATATATTCATATTTACTTTACAGTTTCATATGATTATGATATGGATGTAGAGAGGACAGTAAGTGATCCAGAAGCTCCAGGTTTGTAAATCTTTTTTGTAATTTTTTTTGTAAATTTTCTTAACTTTAATTGTAATATAATCACTTGTGCTTTTTTAAACAGGTTTCAAAGTAGTATATCATATTCACTGTTAAGTCAGTTTTCTATTCAATCGTTTTTTTCAAGCAGTTTCAAATAAACCTGATTTTTACAGTATTGATTTTGCAGCTACATTACTGTTACAGTTGTGAATAGAACATGCCATGAATACTTGCACAACTATTTACTGGAGTAGCTCTCCGGCCTAATCAACAGGTTGTCAAAGACTTACTCTATTCATAATTCTAGGCCTAAATGCAAATATGCCTAAACTTATATTGTGATGTAGCTCCTGAATGTGTTTGACAATCTGTCAATTTCAAATAAAATGTTATATTAATTCAAGTATGCCTAGTTCTCTTATTCTTGAGGTAAATAATATGTAACCTTTTAACTTTTCCTGTGTGTGAAAACTTTACTAGAATTTAAAATATTATATATTTTTATTTAAGGTGATGCTGAACTAATGTTAGAAGATGCTGTCGAACATTACACAGGTACAATGCAAAGTCTTTTTATAGAACTTTAATTGAATTCTGTCTCCCAAACAAGTCCCCCTTCTCCTCCTCCCCCCCCCCAATGGAGGTCTTATACAGTATATTGGTTTATAAGTAAATTGGTTTATAAGTCATTACATCTTTATTTACGTTCTGAAATAATGCAAAGAACTACATGAATATTACTTCTTTGTAATGTGAGCCAAGTGGAAAGTAAAATATTTTGAGGGTTAAATATCTAGGAGTGTATGTGTATGTATTTTAGAATGCATAGAAATGTTTCTGTGGATAAAAAAAAAAACAACTTGGATGTGCCAAGGACTTTGAAGATAGTGTTTATAAATGTCAGGGAAAATATCATATCTATAGGAAAAAAAAAAGGCATTACAAAATACAGTTGTGGAAAATTTTGCTGTATATAAAAACTATTTATGAGAGTTTTCATTATGAATTGTAGGTCATTTGTAGATGTTTTCATGGCTTGTACAAAAAGACCCTAATGATAGCGATGAATGTTTAAGTGTACTTTGTGATGCCAGAAAATCTTTTTTTTTCCACCGAATCTCTAAAAAAAATCTTAGGCTTAAATGAACTCTTAGTATTATTAACTGTAATACACTATAAAACACTATAGATTTGAATATTTTTCCTGAATAAGCTTGATACTGCATTATTTGTGTGCAAGTATTATTTTTAAAATTATATGGATTTTAATACTGAATTTTTCCCCTTTTAAACAGAGGATAGAGTTCATGGGGATTATGATGAAGAACATGGTATGAGAACTGTTACATCTAGTGAAATGACAATATCATAACCCTTATTTTATCAGCATATTATTCTGAAAATCTTTAAGTACTATGAAAGTGAAATTGTTTTGTCCTAAATTTTTCCGTGCTGTCACATTATTTTGTAACTTAACGTGATAAGGGGTTTTTGATGGTCAAATCCCCTGTGCATGTGAGCAATCGATCAGTCTTTAATGCTGGAACAATTGTAGAGTATACATATAGGTTACATGCCCATACCAGTCCCCTTTATCATGCTTTGTGCCTACGTGGCATAAAAAGCACAGACTGTCCATTTTGAGCAAATGGAAGTTCACGAATGTACACTAGACAGCATTATAGTAGCTGTAGTACCTAGTTTTCATCCCTGTTGTCTCCTGACCCATCTTCCTTTGCATCTTTCTCTGTGGGAGAACAGGGTTGGCCTGTTCTCCCACGTGCCTGGTGACAGGACGAGGGGGAATGGGCTTAAGTTGCGCCAGGGGAGTTTTAGGTTAGATGTTAGGAAGAACTTCTTTACCGAAAGGGTTGTTAGGCACTGGAACAGGCTGCCCAGGGAGGTGGTGGAGTCACCATCCCTGGAAGTCTTCAAAAGACATTTAGATGTAGAGCTTAGGGATATGGTTTAGTGGGGACTGTTAGTGTTAGGTTAGAGGTTGGACTGGGTGATCTTGAGGTCTCTTCCAACCTAGAAATTCTGTGATTCTGTGATTCTTTCAACCTTCTTATGAAAACACACTTTTAGTTGGATGAAAGATGAAACATTTGCTCTTTTCCTGGAGAAGGGAGTTTCTAGCACCTGTGTTCTCATCTCCATGATGGCTTCCATCCCATCTTTGGCTTTAGAAGTTCTTCTTCCCAAACATAAAGCTAATGTTTTTGACATTAGCTCTAAGAACAGCAGAAGTTCAGTTCCACAAGAAGAATCATTTTAAAGCTTCAGATGCAAATGTCAGAGAAATTAGCTGAAGTGTATGCTTCTCTGTCCTAGAGTCAAGGCATCTTCTCAGTGTCTGTCAGATGTGTTTCTCCTCTTGTGGCAAACACTCTGACTGTATTTTCTCCGTTCTTGATACTTCCATGAAGTCACAGAAAGCTGAGAGGGCACTGCCAAAATGATTGTTAGCCAGAGCAGTTCCGTTTCTTTTCTGACTCTTTCTTTGTATGACTTAGCTCTTAATTAAGATCAGAGACCCTCTCTAATAGGATCACAGCTCATGTACTCACTTCTGCTTTGCATGGCGTTGGGACAAACTGGAGGCCTGTTGTACACTGCAGCCGTTTTGTGTGTGTGTCTAGCATGTGGAAAGGAATGGTCTCTTCATATCTTCTATAGATATTACTAACATTAACAATTCCTTAGCTGAAATGTTTGTATATTTTTGCCCACAGTGAAGTGTGTAAATAAATCAATCATGTAATTATTGTGCACAACTTTCAATATTTTTATAAGTTTTTTATGTAGTTTGTAGCAATGAAACTAGAGAAAGAAAACAAGTTTTAGATTTTGATTAGAAAGAAAGAATTCTGGATTATTTTTTGAAAGTATATTGTTAAGAATATTTTTAAAGGGATGGAGGGGGATCCAAGTGATTATTACTACCTTTTAAGATAAAACATGTAATAGTAGAAAGGATTTTTACAAATCTGATATAAACAACCTTTTATTGGATGAGAGCTGGCACCTGTTAAGATAATGAAATTACCTGGGGTATTGGATGAACCATGAAGTTTTTAATTTTAAAATTCACAATCAGAATTTAGGCGATAAATGGACAGCACTTTGTACATTTTCAGACATGATTTAAAGTAAAATAATGGCTATTCTTAACCTATTTCTTGTTCAAAGTTATGAAAATTATACTAGCTCTTTACCCAAAATATGGGAGTACAGGTGAATTATAATGTACAGAATGATAGCTTTATTGTCATTATTTTCAATACTTCATCTGTGTGCATAGGAATGCTGAAATTTCAGCATTATGTTCACGTTTGATATGTTTTATACGTAGAATTCCACCTATGGGTACCAGCGAGGGTTCATATATCTAAGCATGCTCCAAAAGTAGAGGAAACCTTTGAGAGCTTTGCGTTTGTCAAAAGAGAAATGAATTCGATGCCTAACAAATTATTCTTAGGATACTTCATGAAAATCAACCACACATTTTTTTCTTTTCAGAACCAAAACATGAAGAGGAGACTGAGACTCAAGATACAGGTATAGCCTATAGGTGCATGTATATACACACAAGTGTGTATGTATACATTTACATATATGTATATCGGGCGTATTGGAAAGTCCTTTTTATTTCATATGTAGTTAAAGTGAAACATCTCTGTAATAAGTGTTATTGGAGTATAATTTTTAAAATCAGAGAAATATTTTAGTAAACTTAGCACGAAGGCTGTTATGTAAATGGGAAGGTGAATTTATATTGGTATATAAGATCTGTGTAATCTTCAATCACAGTGTAATACCAGTTACAGGAAATGTTCATTACAGCATCTATAGTTATCAAGCCAGAGTTCTGACTACAAATTAAGACTCTTCTTAATATTACCATCCTCAAAGATTAATCTGTAAATCTTGAGATTGCATTACTGAGACAAAATGGGGCATGTGAGGGTTTCTGCAGGTCTTTGGAACACAGTCATTTGGCCTAGACACTCAGCCTGCTTGCCATGAGCCTCGCTCATAACCTTGTAAATAGTGCCTACTTCTGGAAGTTCAAAAAAATGTATCTTGCAGGAAACAAATACAGATTTTACAGGTTCCAATACTAGCGCTACTTTGGTGTGGATGCTTTTTGCTGATGCTGTTTTCTAATTAGCTAAGCCACTTAAAATAATTCTAGTCTTTGGTCCGCTCTTTATACTTTATCTTCAAATACCAGCTCTTTTGAAAGTCATCTCAGATAAGCGAATAAAAAAGACACAAGTGCTTAATTTAGAATGAATTCAAGAAATGCTGTAGTGTAGATAAATCAGAAGTATCTATTACCTGTATAATCATAAGCTGAAGTGGACAGCTAATGAGTTGAAAGATGCCAAATTCAATTACAATAAAAATAAAAATATTTAATTTTTCCATGGAAGCCTCAGTTTAAGTTGAATTTACTCATCTTTCAGGAAGGAAAGCAGGATCCACTAAAGAGAGAGATACTTTTATCCAAAAAAAAAAAGGCTATACAGAATTGGAATTATATGAAATAAATGCTTTAGAAGAGCTACTATTTTGAATTTACCCTGAACCCTGAAACAAAATACTTATTTATATGGAAGGATGGATATGCAACTGGTTTTGCATGAAAGTTCCAAAGCAGGTTTATATCCTATGTACTCCCTCTTGCTCTAACCTCTGTTCAGACAGAATGTTGGATTAAATACCAGGACAACCCTAAATGTCCTGTTTATGTAAATATTTGTTTTTTTTCCCCCATAAATATAGGGGGAGCATGATGACAGAACAATGGTACATAGGGATAAGATGGGAGGAGGAGTGTTGCAGCAGTAAGCAGTGCAAAAATATTTACCCACTTAGGTTGTTGGTTAGTGCTATTATTCACTACTAAAGCCAATCAGAACGAGTAAGCTTTTTAAGAGTAAAGACATGCTCAGAAAGATTAAGGAGGGTTTATTTTTTTTTAAGTTACTGTAATTTAATCCAAATGATTAAGTAATTAATTAATGTTTAGAGGGTATGATTTTTGAAATACCTACTAATACAGTAGTTCTGTAGTGAAACAGGAAAGAAAATTTAAGGTATCTATTTTTCCCTCAAAATTGAAATTTTCTGTTCACAGTTGAGCGTGTCTGTGTGCTCGCTTTGTTCTTTGGTGTTGTATGCAAGTTTCATCAGTTTAGAACTTGACTTCATTATTACTCTGAATTGCATGTTGTTTTTTTTTTTTTTTTAGCTGTCGAGGACCTTCCTGAAGAAGTTCATGAAGCTGCAGAGCAAGGTATATTTTGTTATTGTGATCTTAGTGTTTTGGTGAAAGATGCTGATGAAGAAGGGGAGAAGGAAAAAAACAAACACCTAATTATACACTTTTATCTTTTTATACTTACAGATGAAATTATTGAAGATCTGGAAATTGATAAAAAGATGTCAGGTATGAGTTCTTATAAATAGAGAAGGAAAACACTTTATAAGTCTATTTAAATCTGTTAATATAGAAAAATATTGCAGGAAAATGTACTGCATGAAGTACTTAAAGCTTCAATTTGTGGAATAGAGTATGTTAATTTCCCAGATGACTGCTCAAAAAGATTAAGTTGTGAATTTTTGTTTGTTGTGCTGGTGCCAGGGAATTTCAGATGAATACCGAATCAGATGTAATTTGAAGATTAGCTTCAAGAATTTAAAGTATCATTAAGCAAGATTTTTTTCAAACATGACCTTAATTCAGTCAGCTAGAGCTAAGTGATCTAAACAGTTTATTCTTAGCACAACTTATAGGGTTTGATGCTATATTTTATTCAAATTTTCTAGTTGAAAAATTTGTTATAAAATTTGTTTACAAAAATAACAATTGCAACAAAAATCACTTTTGGAGGGGAGTAATAGAAGTCATTAAGAGTGAAGAGCTATTTTTTTAATATTAAATGCATTCAGTTGCCATTGTTCTGCAGTTTAACTCCTTGTTTGATACTAATGGGGCTGGGTGGTTCATGAGGAATAAAAGCAAAATTGAGAACATACTATGTGTAACTTAAATCATTTATTTTCTTTGCAACAGTAGAAAGTAAACATACAGAAGATAACCCGGCCACTGAAACAGAGGAATCAGGTTTGTATTTCATGTATTGCACATGAATTTGCTACTTATTTGCAAAGGGGAAAAAAATAATAATATTGTAGACAGGAATTCTACAATAAAAATGCATTTATATCTTTTTCTGCAGTGCTTTTTCCTTTAAGGACAAACATAACTGTGTTGTTAGAAACTACCCTGTTCTCTTTTGCTTTGCTTTGCTTTTTCAATGCCAAAATTTTAAAAGCTTACATAGCGCAGCTCAATTTTAGAAGTTGAGAGTGCTCCAGCTCAGAATAACTTACAGCAATAATAGTGGTCATAATATTAGGTCATAAGAAGCTGAAGATTTCCTTGCTCTGCTCTGTGTTCCGTACTCTGGAAAAAGAGCATATATATTTATATAAGAAGCAAAGTGGAATGTTACCCCAGCTTTGAGCAGTGTACGTTACAGGATTCCTGAGTCAGAGCATATTTCAGTTTTTCTCTTCAGTGTTCCTTACCGTATACAGTGAGTGAACCAGGCTCCCCCTATTCATGAATAAGCAGCTATGTGCAACCTTCAGTCTATTAGCAGCAATAGCAATTGGTGACATTTCTCTTTTAAGTGTACATCCTGGATTAAAAAGAACTGAATTTTCAAGTAAAATATTTCACAGTTACAGCTAGGAACATTATAATTTCCTAAGTATGGTCATGTTTTGTAAGCCCATATTCTAATAGCATACGAAAGTGGGAGGAGATTTGTACTTTGGATAGTACAATTTCATAAGTTTGAAGTTTGATTTTTGAAACATTGCAGTACTGCAAATTAAGTGCTTGCCTCCCTAGGTATTAATCTTTCCCCTGGAAAAATTTAGCTGAGGAAAATTTGCATCCCACTTCAGCAAAAGTAGTATTACAAAGCAGGCTTGATAGGTTACAGTTATGAACATGTGAGAAAATATGCAGCTTTTTGTACATATTTAGAGAACCAGTTTCAGTTGTTTGTGCACTTCTCATTTACAGAAATCCCTGTTCAAACTGAGGATTATTCAACTGATAATCCAGTGGGTAAGTTAATCTTAAGTGTAAGTTCTACAAACCATTTTTGGAGAGGTGTGAAGGGTTGTCATTATTGTCATTTGAAGTCGCTTCCCATTTTTGAAGCAATACTTTTTTATCTTGTACTGCATAAATGTTAGTGATGGCTATTGAATTATATGGAAGTATTCCATATAAATCTATGAGTAGTTTTAATTTAAAACTTAATTTTAAATAATTTCAGAGTGAGTTGGATACTTCATCTGTGAAGGTAAAAATAAATGTTTTGGGTCTAAAAATTATGTGCTTCCTTTCTAGGGTAACTGGTCATGGGTGGTGATATTAGTGTTACTTGTCTGTGTATCAGTCAAATCTATTGGAGTTAGACTGTAGCACATATTTTATGCACTGGTCTGTAAACAAGATTGTTTTGTCATGTTACCGCATTTTTCTTGACATAGCTGATTTTACGAACAGTAGCACTTAGAGCTTTTCCATTGGCTGCATGACAATAGTATTTACCATTTTTAGAGTAGCTACCTAATGAATCCGTGTCTCTGACAGGAGAGTTTATACGTTTAAAGACTGTATATTAGATTAGGTCTGCTTTTTTAGAGTTTGGTATTACAAGTCATTTGTTTGCTCTTCGTAACACTATAGTAGGGGTATTATCTCTCAGCAGGAAATGACAGCAATTGCAATCCAGGAGCCCTGGGTGCTGTTTGTTTAGATCTCGTTAGCCTGAATGCCTGTATAGTGTGGTTGTTGGGCAAAGGAGTTTTCAATCACCTTTGTGCATTGATTAATCCTTGCGATATGCAGAAGCTCTGAAGTGGTGTCGTGACTTCACAGTAATTCTATGAGACTTTTCTTTCCTTGTGAGGAAGGAAATGTGTATTTAATGTTCAGACATTCCAAAAGTAGCCTGAGAAGTGAAAAACACAGGACATCTGTGTGATGTCCCAATACAGATTATTTCATGTTTTAATTTACATGTTGAACCTTAACTGAGGTGATCTGAAATACTTCTATCCATATATAAGTGCTTTTTCTGAGAGAGGGCTTCAAACTACATATGAAGGGGAACAGGGGAAATGAAGCTCGATAGAGATAAGCCTGGGGAAGCAATCCCAGGGTTGAGGGTGAGGGCAATGGCGTGACTCAAGTGCATCTACACTAATGCATACAGCACGCACACACAACAAACAGGAGGAGCTGGCAGCCATTTGTGCAGCAGGCGAACTATGACCAAGCCACCATCACTCAAACATGGTGGGGCCATTCTCACGACTGGAGTGCTGCAATGGATGGCTACAAGCTCCTTTTCAGAAGGGAGAGGCAACTGAGGAAGGGTGGTGGTGTGACTCTCTATATTAGAGAGTGCTGGGATGCTATTGAGACGGGGTTGGGAATGAAAAGGTAGAGTCCCAGTGGATAAAGATCAGGGGGTTGGCCAACAAGGCGGACATCCTGGTGGGGGTCTGTTATAGACTGACAAACCAGGATGAAGAGACGGATGAGGTGTTCTATAAGCAGCTGGTGGAAGTCGCTCAATCGCCAGTGCTTTTTCTCATGGGTGACTTTAACTTCCCAGACATGTGCTGGAAATACAATACAGCCCTGAGGAAGCAGTCTAGGAGGTTCCCAGAGAGTGTGGAAGACAGCTTCCTGACTCAGCTGGTCAGTGAGCCTACCAGAGGGGATGCCCCACCAGACCTGCTGTTCACAAGCAGAGGACTGGTGGGAGATGTGGTGGTAGGGAGATGTCTTGGGCAGAGTGACCATGACATGTTAGAGTTCTCTGTTCTTGGTGAAGTCAGGAGTGGGGTCAGTAAAACTGTTACTCTGGACTTCCAGAGGGCAGACTTTGAATTGTTCAGGACATTGGTAGGGAGGGTCCCTTGGGGGGTCAGTCCTCAAGGGCAGGGGGGTCCAGGAAGGCTGGGTGGAAACAGAGACTTGCTCCACCTGAACTGTCACAAGTCCATGGGGACAGATGGGATCCACTTGAGGGTGCTGAGAGAGCTGGTGGATGTGATTGCTCGGCCTCTTTCTTCCATCATCTATCAGTGGTCTTGGTTATCCAGAGAGGTCCTGAATGGTGCCAGGAAAGGTGATAGAACAGCTCATCTTGAATGCAGCCACGTGGCATATGCGGGACAACCAGGGGAATCAGGCTCAGCCAGCATGGGTTCATGAAAGGCAAGTCCTGCCTGACCAACCCCATCTCCTTTCATGACTGGGTGACTGCCTGGTGGATGAGGGAAAGCCTGTTGACATAGTCTACCTAGACTTCAGCAAGGCCTTGACACGGTCTCCTGGAGAAGCTGGTAGCCCACAGCTTGGACAGGTACACTCTGCTGGGTTAAAAACTGGCTGGACAGCTGGGCCCAGAGAGTAGTGGTGAATGGAGTGAAAGTCAGCTGGTGACCGGTCACCAGTGGTGTTACCCAGGGATCGATGCTGGGGCCCATCCTCTTTAATATCTTTATTGATGACTTGGATGAGGGAATTGAGTGCAGCCTCAGTAAGTCTGCAGACAACACCAAGCTGGGGGGAAGTGTTGATCCGCTGAAGCGTAAGAAGGCCCTGTAGAGGGACCTGGACAGGTTGGGTTGAAGGGCACAGGCCAGTGGGATGAGGTTCAACATGGCTAAGTGCTTGGTCCTGCACTTTGTTCACAACAACCCCATGCAGCACTACAGGCTGGGGGGGGAGAGTGGCAGGAAAGCTGTGCAGAGAAAAAAGATCTGGGGGTGTTGGTTGATGCACTCCTGAACATGAGCCAGCGGTGTGTCCAGGTGGCCAAGAAGGCCAATGGTATCCTGGCTTGTGTCAGGAATGACTCTGATTCTGTGATTGTGTATTGGACTATTTAAAGCTGTAAGCATTCATGAATAGATGACTAATAAAAATATTCAGTTTCTTAAAGAGTATAAAATGTTTTAAACAAAGGTTAATAGACAGTGTAAGAATAAGTAGTTGTTGCTTTTGACAACATTGGTGAGAAGTTCAGTGAAGATAGTATTCATTCAGTTGGTTTGTTGTCCTTCTGCTTGGAACTGTAGAACAAGAAAAGATAAGTCTGTTTTCTTGCAGAAAATGTTGCTGCCTAACAAGAAGGCTATTATGAGACTATTGGAAAATTTCAGCAGTAGAAAATTCTACTGCATAGCATCAGTTATATGAGGATATAGAGATGATATTGACTTAGACATACTATTTTGGAACCAATTTCAAACTCCAGGTATCAACTTGAAATCTTTGATTTTTTTCATGGACCATGTTTCTGTCAGTGTTTGTGCTGTAATTTATGACTCAATTTTGCAGCAGTAAGTGCATTTCCTACCTTCACAAAACAATAATATTAATAATCTTACATGTATTACACAGTAGTGGATGGTTTTACAAATATTCCATTTGTGCAGCTTCCCTTAGTTCTAAATAGACTTCTGAATGTAATAGTGGAGTTGAACCTAGTTGGCCACTCTCCTTTTCATTTACTGTGGTACAGAATCCTTACTGGTTTCAAACCCCATTAGGATCAAAAATAACTTGTTTTACTATGAAATACCGTATATTTCTTGTCCCTTTGAATTTCTGTTTAGATTCTTTTTTTCCTTCATTTGTGTTCAAATTAGTGCAATGCACTTTTTAAATCACAGATGAGTGTTCAAGGGAAACATAGCTTTATCCTGATGTATATTTTCAAAATAGATAATAATAGCAGCACTGGAAGAAGTGAATGTTTTCTTTTTCCTCACAGAAAAAAGTGAAAGAATTGATCAAAACCTATTTAGTTACTCAATATGAGTAACTATTAGACGTATTAGATGATGCCTGTGATTTTTCCTTTATGAAGCAGAAAATGAAAATAATGTGATTAGAACAAAATCTGCTGTAGTATACAAAAATACTGAAAGAGATGAAGTATTTTGTGTATTTATGTAAGAACCGCTTTGAAGGCAGAAGAGTTATCAAACAGTTGTGTATCACATTTTATAAAAAAGCATATCAGCACAATGTAGGACTCAAATTATATAGCATCTCTAACAATTGAGAAAAGAAGCAGGATATGCATAAAAAAAATACTAACCAGGAATGCAATTATTACAATTATGGAATTTTCCTATCGTTAAGTATGTTTTCCTGCCTTCTTTAGATGAGAAAGACTGGAGGAAACATTATTCTCATAGTATTTTCCTCTTAGAGGATGAAATTCGCATTTACTAGAAAGTCAAAAAATTTTATATATTTTTTTGATCCAGGATTCAGTATGTTTTTCTTGTTGTCAGAATTCCTTTCTCATGTGATTTGATTTCATCAGTTACTCTAATTATTTCCTGTTAATTCAGCAATAATAATATTAAAGTTGATTGTACTAGAGACAATTAAGTACTCTCTTATGAATGAAGAGTACCAATATACACAAATGCGCTCTGCAAATATGTGAAAGATGTGTGTATATATAACTCTTCGTAATGAACGTATCTTCTGGTGCTTTAAAGTTACTTAGAAAGGTCACTATAGACTCTTTATTCTCAGTTAATATAAATACATGCAACTTCGTTTGGTGCACAGTGGTACCAGTTTGTATCGGGCTAGAAACATTGTTTGATTTTTATCTGAAACACAGGAGCTTACTTGTTCTGGAAAGAATACAGGAGGTAGTTCAGAAGATGAATTTAGTTGTAAGATGCATTCTCACATCTTCAGTGGAAAGAAATTGAGTGTGGGATTTAAATATGCTGGAGTGCAAGTGAAAATTTTTTATTTAATTGATTTTTTACTCCAGGGAATAGTACCAAAAAAAAATTAATGGTAGGCAACTGCATCTTTACATATCTATATGCGCTGTTTTCCAATTGCCCAAGTTTACTTTTAAAATTATTACTGGTATTACTTGTCAACAGTAGACTAGTTTAACTGCAATTTGTATTTACAAACTAATATACTTGAATGGTATAATACGCTAGCTTTTGAAATATTGCTGATATAGGATTTTTGATTAATCCCATTTTATATTGGCA